CGAACAATCCAACTTCCCCTCCACAGTTCTGCTCAGGGCTGATTGCCACATAGATTCCAGCTGCACATGTACACACACGATTGATCTTAAGAATTAAATTGGAATCACAATACAGATTTGTCGGCGTTTTACAATAAATATCAATTGAATTAGTATTAACTATACCATCAGAACTTTTACTTTGAGCCAATCAAGCCTACAACATCCGCAAGCACACAGGTGGCTCTGCAACAGACAACCAGCAGAGTTTTTTCCACTAACCTCATGAAACTTATATGGTTGTGATCATAGAGGAAAAAAGGTGCTGTAGAGGTTGCAAAGTGTGCAGAGGCAGAACAATACAAGGTCAAAGGCTCATCAGGGTGAGGAGTGTGTGTCCATTATGTTAGGTCAAAAGATGGTCAGGTTAAGAAGTTCAGAGGTAGCAGGGTGTTAGCATGAACAGGGATGTTAAAAGTCACCAAGAATGATGGTGGGTATTTCAGAGAAAAAGTAGGGAAGCAGGGCAATTAAATTGTCAATATTGTATACTATTTATTTAGGGATGCCAACCAAGATCAGATTTCAAATATAGGTTCAGTTTTGTCTTTAACAGAGAATTAGGAGTTTTCTAAAGAAAGAGCATAACAGAAGCCGTTTGCATTGAGGCTCGTTCTCTCTTGAAACTTGGTTCAGGAACTGTAAACCAAGCAGGAGAGAGGTAGAAGAGTCATTGCTCCGACTCCTTCACTTGCATGGGGCTTGAGCTATTGAGCAATCTAAACAAGCAGTTTCCAAAAAAGCAGTTAGGACTAATGTAGTAAACATGTAAAAAAAGGAACCCAAAAGCACCATCTGCTAGCTAGAAATTAAAATGCATATTTACTTGAGTGAAAAACAAAAAAAGGAAAGCTACATCTGTGTTATTTAATCCTGACCATGATACAGAAAAAAAAAATGAAAATCTATCTTTTCATTAAGAACACAGATATGTAGGTTTCAAAGCTCTGATGAGGCCTGCT